GTCATTAATTAATTGTTAGTCACTTTTATACAATTACATTATATATGTATGTGTGTCAGTGTGTTTTACAGTTCATTTTCAGTCTTCCTTTTTTTCCCCTCCCATTTGTTTACAATTTTTCAGAATCAGTTTTATACATTTGCATATTTTGTAGTTTATCTGGTTGATTTTTGTTCTCTTGTTTTTATTCAATTAGATTATTTTCCTTAGTAGTGTTTGGTAATATAACTTTTCACTTTTCTATTTTTTTTCCTATTAAAAAAATGGTAAATTCACTTTTTTTCTTGTATTATCTGAAAAAATCCATATCTAGATAATATTATAATTTTAATGAAATCTATTTTGATAATTTAGTTCATAATTCTTAAATATATTCAACTACAGTATTTTCATGAATTATGATTCTAATTATATATATATATATATAATGTTGTGTGTGTGGTGTGTCCTACGCTTGGTGCATTTTGAAATCCTTAAACAATAAACAGAAATATTTCCATTACATTCTTGCATTTTCTAATAGTCATGGTCTGACGGACGGCATAGTTTCCATCTAGTCGTGGGTTTGATGCCCGATGCCACAAATCATTGACATGCATTAACACTGATTGATCATTGACATGCATTAACACTGATTTGACGTGCATTAACACTGGGGGTTCTAATGACCCCCAGTGTTAATGCACGTCAAATCTGTCGAAACTCTAAGGCCTCCTTGGCATGGTGTGGTAGTTTAAAGAGGAAAGTTTCCAGTTCATGTGTCGTCCTCGTCACTTGACCGTGATTCATAATTACGAGATACGTCGGGCTGGTTTGTAGCTCTTTTCCTTTTGGGTGAGCTTGATCCCCTTGGACATTCTGCCAATAGCTTCCATGTTGCTTAGAAGAGTGACGTCAGTAAAACAATTTATCATTTTAAATTTTCGCTCTCTAATTAACTTTGATCTTATCTAACTTTTAATACACTACAGTACATTAGTAACACATAAAAATTAGCTAAATAAATGATGTGTTGTTGAGGAAAAAAATTTAATTTTTTTTTTTTACCTCGAACATTTTAAATGTTATAAAGTAGTGTTGGTATTTGGAATTGCCGCATTATAGTATATTAAATTATATTATCTATCCCGAGACAATGTGAGCTATTTAAAGAGGATGTCGTAGATTTGCTTCGCGAAACCAAAAAAGATCATTGGGTATCTTCAATCAGTTGCTGTAGGTTAAAATACCCTATTTATTATATGTAGAGTGATGTGGAAGTTTGAAGAATTAGATACCAACATTTTTGTGGGCTCTTACTCGATTATTTTTCAAGGTTATGACACCAGATGTGAACAAATCTAGTGAGATACATCGATTTATACTGCACAAAAAAGCTGTAGTATTAACTATTTAATGAAAAATTATTAATAAATATTGGATTTTACACTCTACGAAATTTGATGATGAATGAACAAGTGTGCTTAATAAATATTTAATGTTTTTAATTTTTTAAGTAAGCTGCATAAATGAACAATGTTGGAAAGTTGAAGTAAAAAAAAAAGGTTGAAGAATTGCCTCAAAAATATAAAGAGAGCTAGGAAGCAACACGAGAGTTATTGGAGACAGACCTCGTAATTTTGAACATTGGTCAAATGGAGACAGAGAGCTGGGAAAAGCGAGAAGGAAAATGTGAAATTAAAACATTAAGCAATCTTCTAAATCTTATTCTAAAATTTATCTTGCATCATTACGATTAGAATATTGTTAGAGAAATTTAAGAAAGATGAGTTAATGAGGCAAACTCGCTCAAAAGAAGAGGGCAACAGCAGGCTTTCGAATAGTTATAAAGTGAACTATTAGCTTCTGTAAGGAAAGAATATTAAAAATTAGAGGTATTGTGTTTTTTGATTGGACTAATTCAGCCTAAAGATTAGTAAAAACATATATTTTAGACATATAGTTTACATTTAATCAAAAGCTATTTTACATTAAGATGCCTATTTTGATTTGCATTGTGTGAACAGTTTAAATTTATTTTAACTATTTAAATTTTATGAGCATTTTTATTCTCAGCACAAAGAAACAAATAATATGCCTCGATATTAAAGGACTGTTATTTTGCATTAATTATTTTTATAGGAAGTGTTTATTCTTCTTTGCTAGAATTGCAGTACACATTAAAATGACAAGAAACAAAAATTCGAATTTCAGTCGCATTTAAAATCACTTTAGATACATTTCGAAAAATAAAAACTGATACATTAAGCTCAATTTATACATTTACGAATAAAGCTATTGTATTTTTGAATTTAAAAATTTGATTACAAAATTAAAATTTACTAAACCAATAGATTTCAAATATTGAAATTCATATTTCATTATTTTCAATTTATCATAAGAAGATGATTTGATTTTTCTTTTGTAAAAAATAATACATTTCTGCTTCAGTACTATGAAAACAATGTCATTTCAGTATGCAAGTATCAATTTTGTTTTACAATATAAAATAATTATGTCAAGAAATGATTCTTAAAATATCTTTTGATTTGTTTCTTTGGAATTTTGCATTCTTAATTCTTAAGACATTCTCCTTCCTGTTACAATTATTCACGAAATGTCATGCATAAATTAAAGGTTATAAATAATTACCTTACATGAGTTACAATTAATCAAAACCTAATCAGTAACTGAAAAGTCTTTCCATATACGTTTATTCCAGGCAATGAACAAAAACTTAATCTGTGGCTGTTACGTACATGAACAATTTGGCTAGTAATAATTATTTAAGCAAATTTAGAAACTTATTAAGTGAAACTAAGAAGTAAGAAAATTTGATACTTTCCAGTCGTATACTTCAAAGCAAGTATAATTAACAGTTTTAACTACATATCACAACATACCTTAGATAGATATATCATAATAATAGTCGACTCAAGCGTAAACACTTTGAGCAGTTGGGCTAATGCACTTAAATCTGGTAGATGTCCCAAGTCCTAACACAGTTTTATATTGTAGTTTACAAAAGAGATGTCAGCTCAGGTGTCGTCATTACTTCACAGAGGCTCAAATTTACGAGGTTCGTCGCCGAAACCCCCTGTATTGCTTCTCAGCGTGGAGTAGATATGAAATCACAAACACTTTCTGAATTTTTCTTCAAAGTATAAGAAGTCGCGGTAATCTATTGATCATGGTCGCGGATAAGCTGACGACGGATACCGTCGAGTCTAGGATTCAGGCATGCTGACACGAAAGACCAAAAGTGATTCCCGATTAGGTGCACGTTTAATCTCTTGAGGCTCATAATAAAAACATTAGGGTGGTGTGGACGTTGTGAGAGAGAATTGCCATCACAGATGTCGAAATTGTCACTTGACCTAGGTGCAAAATTTAAAGGTCCGTTGCCAAAAGCCCTCGTGACGCTTCTTGTGCGATGTTAATAAAACCAATCCATCAAAGTAGCATATTTTCCTTCTGCGTTGTGTCATTACTTTTTCGCAGTGACTTAAAGTAATATAAGACTAGTACACTAATTATATTTTCTGAACATAATTTTCGTAAATATTATGTGATTATTATTATATAAACATTATTGAATAATATAAGAATATCGAAGATATGAGCATCATTTCATCCAGCGTGAAAAGCCAACTAAAGCATCGACGAGATTCTCCATTCAATCTTGTAAAGAAACGATGCTAATAAAAGAAAAAAAACATTCTCAAATTACAAAAAAATACTCCAAATGTATCTCTAAATATCGTTAAACGTTAGGACATTGTAAATTATTTTTGTACCCCAAGAATTAATGGAAAATACATGTTAATGAAATAATCATAATTAATATGTTTCGCATGAAATACGTAACTGCCTATGAAAAACGCCTATTCGTTCAGTTCGTCTTCCCCTCCGTATCATTTCGCAGCAGTGCTTCGATAATTCACTTAAACATTCACGATTTCAAAATTGTAAAATTTTGTTAGATATAAAGATACTTGAAATACATTTTTTACACTAGCAGATATAAATACTGCTTTCGAAGTAAAAAATTGCTTTAATGTTCAACAAGAAATGTATGTGATGAAATTTAATATATTTTAGTCACGAAAAAGGAGGTTCCCCGTTTGAACACAACATATAAGTACTCAGAAAAGTGTACGGCTTCATTTTATTTCTTAGGACAATATCCTGACTCTAAATACGAAAAAGTTCAGTTTAGTTTTTTTTATTAACGTCGCACTAGAAGCAATACGAGGACTATTGGCGACGGACCTTGAAATTTCGAACCACGGTCAAAAGATGAGGACGACACCTGAGCAAGCACCACTACTCCTAACATCCACACCACGACAATGGGAAGACTTCGGGCCCCTACAGATTTAGCGTGCATCACCCCTGCTACACGGCGGGTCTATGGCAGACAAGAATCGAACCCGCGACTGAACGAAAAAAGCCGGCCAAGAAACCGAAACCATGCCAACTAGGCTACCGCGACACTTCAAATCGAAAAAATTTCAAGTGATAATTTAAATTAATACAAGGAATCAAAATAAATGCATCCGTCGAGCCGGAGTCGAACCAGCGACCTATGGATTTCGGCAAATTTCTATCTACAGTCCACCGCTCTGCCAACTGAGCTATCGACGGTCGCCGACATCACTTTTTTCTTATATAGAATGGTATTCCTCATAAAAGGGACTCGAGCACGTCAAGTATATGCATATAAATGAAAATTATAGAATAGAGTGAGACTTAGTGTTTCTTGCCACATACATTAAAGGAAATTAAAAATTTATTTTTAAGCCATTGAAAAAAAAATAATCTTTCAAAATAAGGACACTCGCGTAATAAAATTGCATGAATAAGGAAAGTAGCTCACAAAAGATAAACGAAGTATAGTAATAACCGAGAGAGATGTAATAAGACTCCAGGCGCTTCCTTTCGGTGTCAGGTATAGAGAAATACGTTTACATTAAGCAGGTCAATAATTTTTTTTTCTGAAAAAGATTAAAAAAATTGCATTCCGTCGAGTCGGATTTGAACCAGCGACCTATGGATCTCGGCGCGCATTTCGCCTACAATCCACAGCTCTACCATCTGAGATATCGACGACGTCGGTGTGCAAATATTCATGTATTGAGAGGGACACACACTTCCAATCGGACACATTTTTAACAATAAAAGACCCGGCGTAGTTCGTTAGCGTGGCAGCTTTTCATTTTGAAATATCGAGGCCTCCATAAACCAGTGGTGATATTCGCCGACTTGCGGCCGGCGCGGGTGCCTAGTGGCAGTAACATTGTCACTAAAACCCCGACGTTTAGCGGGCCTGATAAACGTTATATTTGTGCCAGAAGCCAATTGCTCCCACATTGGCGGGATGTGGCAGTTGACTACTCTGGCATGTTGTCGCTGCTTGTAGGAGGTTCAAAATTACGAGGTGTGTCGCCAATAGCTTCCGCGTACGTTGATAGTAAGAAATCACTCTAATTTGTTTAATTTCCTTTCGAACCCTAATACTTTCCTTTTGTGATGTGCCATTGCTTTTTCATAGTGATGCTACGTATTATGACTCAGATACACTAATTGCAATCTCTGTACATTATTTTATATCCTAAAAATAAATCAAAACAAAAGGCAGAAGTCAAACGCAATATTTTCGTTAAATATTATCAAATTAACCTCATCGTACCATTACAAAAAATGAGTTTGTGATTTTCTAAGAAACAAGGGATTTTATTGACAATACATTCATCAGAATGGATTCCTTTGTTCCGTAGAAACCAATCTTTAGCTCATACATAAAGTCAACTTTCTTCAACATTCCGTCTATGTGAGAAAAGTACTTTAAGCGTCAAATAAAAGCTTGTGTCGCTTAAAACATAAAAGTAACGCCTTAGCTAAGTGGAATTTTAAACGATTATGCTTCATCAATTACTCTTTGTATTCGATAGATAATGAAATACTGAAATGCAACAATTACTTGAAGGCTTTGAGAAAGTAAAAATTCATTTTAAGAAATTTAACTTAAAAAATCATTCATCCGTCGAGCCGAAGTCGAACCAGTGACCTATGGATATCTACTGTTTTCCACCTACAGTCCACCGCTCTGCCAACTGAGCTATCGGCGGCGTGGGGGTTGCTTGGTATGAGACAAAAACGAATGCAAGTTGGAACCTAGCAAGGAAATTCACGCAGAATATTTTTTAGTTTTAAATTCGAAACTTATCCTCTTCTTGAAATTAGAATTTGATTATGCAGTGCTAAATATATATGTATACACTCGTGTTAATGATGAAGCAAATTGAAAATTACATACTAAAAAGGTTAAAATGAAATTATCATTCTTAGCACAAGTTCACCAGATACTTATGGACGTATTTTGTCCTCTTTCCAGCTACATAGCCAATAAGACAATGAAAGTGATCTTTAGTCCTAGTAGTTTACATCTTCGGAAGTCTCTCGGAAGGCGAAATCTACATATAACTATTCGTGACGGTAATAAGAACTTTATTTCACCCTAAAGTTACACAGATTTTCCTAGTTTAGTGTCACAACCATATATTCATTGTAAAATATTAGAAATATCTGATTTATTAAATTTCGGTAATTCATTCGTCAAATTGCATCACACTTCCTCTACCCTCCATGTCTGTTCCATACAACTGATTTAAAATAACGTGTATCCTTTTCTACCCTCGTAGAAAGATCGTTCAGAGACGCTTACAGTGATGAAATGTTAGTGTAACTTACTGAATGTATACATCAGAATGTTAGTTTTCACACAAAAGATAAAACAAATATCGTCCCTCGAACAGGATTCCAACCCGTTATATTCGTTGGTGTGGGTATCATGTCGTCCAGTGCGCACCAAATTGCCGACAACTTCATCGAAAACGACTTACTTCTTCATTGTGACGGGTCGACGCTAATAAGTGAAAAATGTCTCAAATTCTAAAAAATATTATGAAAATTGACTCCAAATATCGTTAAGCGTTAGGACCTTGCAAAATACTTCATTCCCCTAGAACTATTGAAAACATCATGTTCATAAAATAATCAAAACGGATTTGTTTGTTTCGCGTGAATAAAAGAAAGGCCATTGAAAAGGGTCAACATGTTCAGCTCGTCTTTCTCTCTGTTTCATTTCGGAGCGGTGTCTCGAAATTCACTTAAACTTTCATCATTTCTACATAGAAGGATTTTGTTAGATATGAAGATTCCCGAAGTGTATCTTTTATTTTCAATAGCGGATATCAATACCGTTTTCGATGAGAATTTTTTTTTTCACGCAAACAGAAATGCATGTGTTGATACTGCATATTTTTTACTAAGCCAAAAAGATTGTGCCGTGCAGGTGTAGTGATGGCCGCAATCGACTTTTGATTCCCAGTATCTTTCTGTCTCACGTCCACCATTCCGCCAACTATCCTATTGAAAGAAACACTATGCAATTTCATTGTTCAAACAAGGAGTTGAAACAGTCTCAACAATGCGTAAGGAAATGCCGAAAAAGAAGTTAACTAAAATGTGTTATAATTGTGAATTTAAACGTTACGAAATATTCTTCTTCACATCGTTAGACGAGACAGTGTAGTGTCCAATAAATATGGAAATATGTGAAACTATTAATAATGAAAATTTCTTTGTCTAATCGGTCTAGGAGCCTCTTACGAATTATATAATCTCAACACTTTGTTGCTTTGAATATAGATTTATCACTAGGTAAGTGAATGGTAACCCCTGTGGAACACAAAAATTGAGAGCAAAGAACAATGGAAGGCTCTCTTTTATTTCTTAGGAAATTATGCTTTCTCTAGTTTCCTATAAAATCAAGTGATAATTTAATTTAATATTAAACTTTTATGTTTAGTCTAGTGCAGTGTAATAATCTTTTTATCCTTTTGGTACCTTTTTTTGCTGATATTTTTCTTAAATTAACTTCTTTGATTAAAAAAATGAGAAGAATTGGGATATCACAGCTTTATTCTATTCATATTTAGATATTTAGTTTTGCATGTCTATTACTCTATTATATCACAATAGAAACATCTTGATAAGGTAATGAATGGTAATTTATCTTCATGGTGTCATTTCTTTTTTTTTTTTTCCTCTTAAATATATTCGATGGTTAACAAAATAAAGCAACAATAATTTGAATCCTTACGTAAAAATGATTGAAAAGAATATTTTTAAGAATTTGGCAGTCCTTGTCTTTTATTGTAAAGTACTCTTACGTCTGAAATAATTGTTGGAATCGGCAACTTAATTCATCTTTAGCATCCAATGTTTTTCTGTGTTTTGTTTTTATCACAGCTTGCAAAGATAATGATTTTTCACATTCATAGGTTAGAACTTATCACATTAGATGTTTCATAGGTATTTAGTCAATTGCATGGTATTGTTTTCTTATGTCAATTCTACACTGTGTAATATCAACCTGACTGAAATTTAGTTTTAATTGAATGTTGGTCGATTTATCAATTTGTTGTTCTCTTTCATTTATTAGAATTCAGGATGTGTCACAGTCTCGAGGATTATTTTAGATCCAAAAACATTTTTTTTTAATAAGAAAATATTCAATATTTGTTTAAAATGTTGAGCTAAACTAGTTTTTTTTCCTTTTTTTTACCTCATTTTGCACCACCACCTACTAAAATATTATGCAAATTAGGAAAGCATTCAATATTATTTGTGAAAATGTATTCTTCACAAAATTTCAATTTTAAAAAGATTGCGTCAATTTTACTTTATACCTTAAAAATAGTCCAATTAATTGTCAAAAAATTGAGCGATTTTTTTTTACCTGAGGCATGGAATGGAGACTAATATGCGACGTAATATGTCTCGATTAATACATTTGAAGCACTCGACTTTTGCGTAATTTGATATTTTATTTTATCCATATGATACTTATTTAGGTTTATTTTTACTAGTAAACTGCCGTTAAGAATTCTATCTTTTATAAAAATTAAAATTTTACTAAAATTTGGAGCTTTGATTAAGCAAATAGTGATTTTTTTTGGAAGGCCTTTCGAAATTCCAGGGAACCCTAGAGTTCCATGGAACTCAGTTTGAAGAACCATGATCAATTGAAACATTTATAGTGTAATCGGCGGAAGTTACTTTTTCATTAAGAGTATAAATTACATAATAGTTTTTAAGCCTGATTTGAACCTATAGATATTAGCTTGACTTTCATCTACATTCTTCTGTACTGCCAATAAAGGTATTTTATGTTTCATAATGCTTTATAATGAACCTTTGCTCTATATGCTTAAAATTATGCAACACAAAATCGCGAGGATCACTCTGTAAGTAATTATTGTAGTAGCATTCCATTCGGAATTGTGCTTCGAAGCAAATTACCTTCCATCTGAGTTGTATGCTCTGAGATTTCATTGCAAAATTAAGTAATATAATTCTAGTACATTAATTGCATTATTGTACTGAAGCAAAGGAATTTATTCTTTACGTCACTGGCAAAAGGGTATTAAAGAAAATAGCAAACTCAAATATATTTTACGTAAAATATTGGGAAAAAAACCCTGTTCTAATGATTACAAATTTAGATAAAGTGTTTTTAAAAGAAAAAAAATGAGAAACGTTTTCATAGTTTTTTTTTTTTTTTTTTTTTTTTTTTTTGATTTTACAAAATGTTTTTAAATATTTTTAAGATATGATATCCTCAAACGAAGGCACTGAATGGAACGTAATACTTTTTAAATGGAGAAAATATATAACTTCGTACAAGAACATTTTTGTTGTTTTTGTTTGGGGTATATATTTTTAATCCATTCCAATGAATAAAGTACTTTATATTTGAAACGGACAGTATAAAAATTACGTGACCAACATTGTGATAACGAAATCTAATTGGCTTGTAGAAGGAAGGTTTGAGATATAAGATTAAAAGATCTATATAATAAAATTTGTTTTTTCCTCACAATTACTTTAAGAGTGTGTATAATTCAATCCAATTTTCGATCCACATTTTTTTTCCCATTATTCTTTTTTATATACTCAGTGAGATGGTGCATCATTTAATGCATCAAAAAATTTATTTTTAGCGAATTTTATTTCTTTTTCTCAAAACTACACGCGAAATGAAC